GACAGTGCCACAGCATGTGCCCCTGAATCAGGGAAAGTGCTGTAGCAGCATTGTGCTGTCCTCTCTTATCAGTCAGCATGGAGCTCAGTAACAACCCTATGTGCCTTCTGGATTGCAAGAGGCAGTGGGAATCAAGGAAACTGGGCAGAATGCAGCCACAGTCAAAGGAGAGTGAGCAGGCTGCTTTTGCTGCTGCTGTACATATCAGAATCCCCAGCATAGTCTGAACCATACTCAAAGCAAGATGTGCAGTTTGGTGTGAGAGGCAGATTTCTGTCTTCTGAAATTGCCTTGTGCATCTCATCCAGAATGTTGAGCATTTCTCTTGAAAAACATCACTTCTCTATACGCAGCATATAGAAGAGAAGATTTAATCTACATAAGTTCATGCCAAAAATCATGTTCAAAATATTCCTGGTATGAACATGTCCCAAACCAATGCAGAGTTACAGGGGATACAGGCACAGAACTTGCAGACCTACTCTCAGCCCTGAATTCATCATCCTACCCTCTCATTTATGTAAATGCTGAAAAGGAAGAGGGAAGCAGTTTTTTAATTTTGATTTTTTCTTTATAGGTAGTTGAAATATAATTGAATGTAAAAGCACATAAAACAAGTTTTATGGAACGATATTTTGAATTTTGGGGGGTTCGTTGATATTGGAAAAGGAAATCTCTTTTCTAATCACTCAAATGCAACTTTTCACAGATTATAATATATTTTACAGATACAGTTAATCATTTTCTCCATTTTGCTCATCAGGAAGTGCAGGAATCTCATTTTTAGTTCTTCATTTCTGAATGCTCAGAAATATCTGTAGCAGATGATATGTTGGAAAAATTCCAAAGTTTCCTTCAACTATAACAGGTCCAGGATTTCACCCAGGCAAGATTTTGGGAACTACTGAAAGCTCTTAAGTGGGAGAAATCAATGGAAACCTGAAGTGCACAAAGGAAAAAGTCTGAATCTAGCCACAGGAATCTCAAGATGAACAGAAGTAAAAGCATCTTGGGTCAGACTCCCACTCCCTTGAAAATCTACCTTCATTTACAGGAACTATAACTTCTCAATCTCTGTGCCCATGATCTACTTACTGGACTGCAGAGCCTAACACGTGGAATTTTTATCATAGAAATAGCTACACAAAAGCTGAAAGTGGCTTTTTTTATCAAAATAGCTCTTGTAATTTGAGTGCTTTGAATTGCTCGGCGCAGCTTCACCTCATGCAGACGAGACATAGTGGATGGGAGAGGATTTTGCCAGAGATCAATAAAATAGCTTAGACAAGACATTAAAGAGAGTGTCTGTCTGCTTTGGTATCCCTCCCTGCTTTACCAGTGGAGATAATGGGTTTGATACCATGCCAGTTCTGCCATCCTAAAGGAAAGGTTATAGCTAGTTCAATACTGAGTGCCTCTTGCTAATCCACTATTTACCACAGGAGCCTAAGGCAATTATTTCTGCCCAGTTCATATGGCATTTTCAGCATGAAAAGGATATTCAAGTTCTCTTACAGTTCATTTCACGAGTAAACAAGAGAGAGACTATTTCTTTGCCTGTACAGCAGGATAACTTTTGCATTTTCCCCTTTGCGTGTTACAAATGATTGGGAGGCTTTTTATCGTGATATGAATTCATACCAAAAACCCAAGGAAAGCAAGTAGAAGTATAACTCAGAACAAAACATCATAGGAATGGCTCAAGTGTGAGAAACTAACACTTTTCAAAGAGACATAATTGATATGAAGTTTAGAAACAGCTGAAATTACTTTGTGCCAAGAAGTGTTTATTCTGAATATGATGAATATTTTTATTCAACATATTCCAAATGTGTGGCTTTATTTTATTTTTATGTCTCTTGACTTTTACATATTACACAGCAGCTACTTCCCAGTGAACAGAAAGCAGAATTTATTCAATAAAATTAGGTGAAACAAAATGCTACGCTTTGGAACAAGCTCCCCAGGGTAGTGGTCATGTCCCAAGCAGCCAGAATTCAAGAAGCATTTGGACAGTGCTCTCAGACATAGGGTTTGACATTGGGCAGTCTTATGCAGAGCCAGAGTTGGACTCCAAGATCCTTGTGGGTCCCTTCCAACTCAGGATATTCCTGATTCTGTGATGAAATGCCCACTCCAGACAGTAGCAGCAATATCATAGGCCTACATTTTTATGCATCAGCCCATCAACCCATTTTCTCCATGACCTTACCCATGCTCAGATCATTTACAATAAGTCTCTTTTTTCCTCATCGATTCTTTAACACCTTCTTTAACATCATCAAGAAAATTGCCAAGGAAATAGATCCTCTTTTTATTGTTTTCCTAAAAATCTCTTTCTCCTCTCTGTTACCTGCTATGCAAGGTCTTCGGTGAGTAACTAGATGGTTTTTTTCAAGTTGGTTTTATGATAACTCAGTACACATGTAACTGCGTTGAAATTAGTCTGCTTCTTCCTAAAATTTCCTTTCTCTGTTCCGTTTTTTTATCTGTCCTCCTTTGTGGCATTGATGCTGAAGTGAGTTGTTTAGATCATGGATGCTGTGTTTGCATTTCTATTACAAAGAGTTTACAGTGTTCTCCATCACTAAAAAGTAATAATTATCTCACAATTTATGGTTGGGGCAACATTAGGAGACTCCATAGTGCTGATTTTAATTCCTGTGAGCTCTGCTTCTCAGTGTTGCCATACTGCAAAGCATTTCTTCAAAGGACAGTTTACATGGATTAATGCCACAAAATCATGCAATGTCAAAATGTGAGGTGCAGAATGGATTAGAACATTATCCATGAACTGAAAAAAAAAATCTCAGGCTATTTTCTTGCACTGGGATAAACTTGGTTCAAAGGAATTTTGAAGCTGCAATGAACGCTCTGCTATGTTTTCCTGGTAAGAGCTAACGCTGAAATAGCTGTGGTAGTGATGTTGCTACTCTATCATTGTGTAGGCAAAGGATCATAGCAGGAGAAACAAAAGTGCCAGCATGCTTCTAGCCCACTACAACCCACTTAAACTGAGGAAGCTGTCGATTAGTTCAATTCAAGATGATAGTTGACCTAGCTCATGACTGCTCTGAGGACAAAAAGAGATGGAAAGATAGTTTTGTGCTAGCTCTGTGACAGCCACTTCAGGCTTTTTTGCTTACAGGTATTTTGTTTACAAATTTAATTAAGTACATGTAAAGGGCAAATTAGTGGGTAATGAGCTTTTCCAACTCTCTCTCAAATTAAAAGCATGATCAGTTCCTGAGGTTGTGAAGAAATATATTCATCCCATAAAAATTACATTAGATAACCATTAAGATTCTGAACCATTACAATAAAAGCAAATGCATTTATAATTAGGGGGAATCTTCATTCAGTAGACAAAGGCTGGCGTCTCCTTTTCTACACAATCAATACTTTGCACTTATTTTTTACTTTCTTAATGTTGTGTTTGTGTTCAGAGTTCTTCTAGGGAAAACGTACCATAAATAAGCAAGCTGCTATCGCTGCTGACTACAGCCTACTGCATGATGCTGCAGGCTTCTGTTTTTCTGTGTGTCACACTGATTTGAAAGGAACTACTTATGAGAAGGAGCAGGACTTGTCTTCATCCTGACAAGTTTCTCCAGAACAAGTGGAGGGATTTGAGCCAGGGATCTTTTCCTGTCTGTTGGAACTCACAGACTCAAAAATATTTAATGTCAAATGCACTGAGTTATGACAGTGCTAGGTGATAGCACAAAGCCCTGTGCCACGACTGACTGCTTTGGAAGACAAAGCTTTTGTTCATGTTGACTGATATATAATAAAAATTGCTGGCAGTTCACACCTGAAGATAAACCCCTTTTCACCTAACTTGAATTCCAGCAAAAAAGCATCATATTAAGGGAATTAAAAGATGATGATTAGATGGGTGAGGGAAGACAGATTACATAAGTAATTATTACAGGGAGCTGCTGCTGGCAATTATTCAATATATTGCCAGCCTAGGAAAAGTTCATACAATCAGTATTGGCTATATGAATACTTCTATTTAAATACTGGTATGTGATGCTGGAACACAGCAATTATACAAATTAATGTCTCTCCACAAACCTTGAATGGACTGACAGGATAAGCTTGTTTGAACAATCATATCTTTTAGCACAGCCTTAAACACTGAGCATGGAATCTGGGACATGCACATAGGATGGAGTGCAAGAGCTTGGGATCCTGGACACATAAATACCATAGAAGTGCTGACAAAATCAGCTAAGTATGCATTTCCCCATATCTGCAAATAGGAGCTTCTATTATCGTCAGAGAGAATACTATGATTCATTAAGATCAAGGAAATTTAAAACTCTCATATCTGCCTATCAAAAAGACACTGACAGATCAGATAGATTCAAGATGCAGAAAATGTATTTTCTTGTCTCTCCCAGCATATGTCCTCCAGATTAGTTTCTTGTGAATAAATTAAGAACTGTCAGTGAGATAATGGAGACTAAAGGAAGCCATCAATGTATAGGATTCCCTGATTTTCCATCAGAGTCATTTATGTTCTGTGCCTCCTGTTGAAAACAGTGAATCAGATGTTTCAGAAGTTGTTTCAGACTGCATAGCTCTGTACCTATATAGGCAATATTTAGTCAGGATTTTAGTCAGCCACTGCAGTGCTGTCACTGAGTTGCTGTCACAAGTTGCACGCATTTATTCCATAAATAAAGAATGGGGAAGCACCAAAACCACCACAGTTGGGCAATTCCCAGTAAAAAGCATCATCACACTCTGTGGAGAAAAAGAGAGTGCATCCACAACGTCATCCTTCCCCTCTTACGTTGAAGAGCTTGCAACAAAGCAGCGGCAGGCAAGGCAGTGTGAATAATGTAGCATCACACGTCAGAGGCAACAGTGTCAGGGGGAGGAGTGAAGTGGAATGAAGAAATGAAATCATGAAGGATTCAGAAGGGAAGGAGTAAGAAGAAAGAAAATAAGGGAAAATAGTTTAGTACAAAAAGTGTCAGGAAGGATACCTGATATTGTAGAAGATTTGCACTATCATCAAGGAGAAAGAAACTTTCTTAATCAATTAGCAGTGTGGGACTTCGATGGAGTCCATTGCATTTCCCTGTCTTCTGCCCCTGTCAGCTGTAAGAGTCAGGAAGCAACAAAGGGCTGAGGATCTCAGCAACAGAGCGGAAGTTCTCAGCTACCCCTACACTTCCTCTCCTCTCTTGGTTTCAGTTTATTCTTGTATTTCCTCTGCAAGCCGGGGACTTCAACTTGGTATCTCATATAGTGTTACACAAGTCACCCATCTGGAAGCAGCCTGTTGTGCAGACAAGGCAGAGATGCCTCTGCTTTGCAGTATAGATATATATGAAATGAAGAACAACTCAGGCATTATATGCATGAAATAGGCGCTGCTTTGATTATTTTCACACATATTCCACCTCTATTTCCTTGGAGAAAGCTATGGAATATTTTTACTTTTATCTATTCTTTCACTTCTATAGCTACTCTGTAGGAGTGATTTTACCTCTGTCACAGAGTTCAATTTTTTGATTGAGTTGTTTGTTGTTTCTTTTTTCCCAATGTCTCCTTTTACAGCAGTGGGGATCTATTTGGAATACACAGCAATGTGTTTACTGTATTTATGTGCATAGCTGTATGAGTAAGACAAGACTGCGAAGACGTTTTCTGCTTTTGTTTACTGTGTTTTTTCTGCTTGTTTCTTCTGGCCCTCAAATTTGGTAGCAAAAATTGTGGTAAACTCTGCCCTCTTTCACCTCAAATAAGAGCAGCACAGGAAATTTCTTCACATATTCCTTTATCTGCTAGCTTCCCAGCTTTCTTTCTGTCTTAAACGAAGCCCAATATGGGTGATACAATCATTTTATCATTCCAGATGACTCCCAGTATGGGACTGTTAAGAAATCATGTCAACAACAAATAGAGCAGCTCTTATACTTTTACCCCTTCTTTTCATGTACAAAGCAGTTGGAGAAAATCAAGTTGCCAGTACTGGCAGCAAAGATTTTCTTCTAGAAGAAATTGCTACTGTTTTCCCACCTCTTGCAATCAACAGCCCCAAGAGAAATATGCAATGGTTAGGAGAAAAAAGTCCATGCTGGGGGAGCTGATTGTCACTGCCTCCATGAAGAGCTTATCTACACTCCTCATCCAAGTACTTCAGGTTCAGTTTAACAAATTATGAGTTAAATATTCTTGGAAATATTATTAGTGTCTCAGATTACCACGTGCTGTGCCATTACTTTGATCTGAACCTCTACACACTGACATTTTTGGCTTTGAAATTAATTCATTGTCTCATATTTGGCAAAGCACTAGGAGAAATATTTCCAAATTATGGCTATACGGTAAAGCAGGTTGTCAGTGAGAAGGTACTATCACATCACAAGGGAAATTCAAATCCCAGCAAACTGAGGGTTCATCTGGTTTATTCTAGCTTCTTAGTGTGATTCATAAGTTGATTAAAGTTAAAAGATAACTTGCTTGACCATAACATAGTAGTCAAGGTAAGGCATAAACACTATTAAGATTATAAAATACAAAGACATTCACAAGTTCAGTTCAGGTAGAAGAAATAGCTCTTAAAGGATACGTACTCACTTAAAGAAAAACAAAAATATTTGGAATATTTAGAATTCTTTCACGTTGTCACTCGTATTAGTCCCCTTAATTTTATGCTGCTCTCTACTGGCAACTGATCAGATTACTCTGGTAACTCAGAATTCATTCTAGTTGCATTTGTAGGTCATTAATTCTGAATTTTAGGAGCCTGTTTTCTGGTTTCAGGACAGTTTCCCTGGATATTTCCCCTCACTTCCGAAATTCATTTTTCTGTTGGGTGTAACTAAGTCAAAATAATTCCAGTATATTCTGGGAGAAACGTCTTTTTTCTTCATTCCTACTGAAGCAGAGTGGTGTAATATTCTACACTCGACCATGTGAAAGTTCTGTGGATAACACTGGGACAGGATTATTATAAATATTAATACTGTATGTCAGGCAATTTGATCTTTTTTTGATCTTTCCTTCTTTAGTCAGGGGAAAAATTTTATTCAAAGCTTTTGAATGAGTTACCAAGTCTAATGCAATAAACAACAGATAATTTGTTTCCTGCTGTAGTTCTGCAACACTAATACCAAATACAGAAAGTAAATAGTAAAGTGATGTTCTTCTCTGAAAATTAGTGCTCACAAAGAATGTTTCCACAGGAGGTAGTTGTTCTCTGCTTCTTTTTTTTTTAATGTGAGCTTGTTTAATTACATAGTAATTAATTACATAGTAGGTCTTACATTAGTGTGTGGTTTTTACCTACATTGCTGACTGTAGTTGCAGTAAGGCACATTACTCTGTTCTTACCCATTCTGATCAATTTGTTTTCTCTTTCAATCCAGCAGACTTCCTTCTCATAACCACCTGGTTAATACTTCTCTTCCTCCCTTGTAAATACATGGTTTACTGTGAGAATTCCTGTGCTTGGCACCAGGTGTTAGGTCACAATTATTACCCTATTGATGAATTCTTCAATATTTTTCAGTATGAGATTTTTCATTACACTTATAGTATATCAAACTTACATCATCATTAAGGTCAGCAGGCAACTTCAGTTTTCAGTTTTGGCTGACAGTTGCTTACTATTAACCTCATACGTTTGTTAGAGAGATAAAACCATGGTCTTATCACTGTAGTTACTAACAGCAATTCATGTTCTTTTGCATTGAAAAGTAAGATGTTTTCTTCCACAGAACCAAAGATATTCAGGCACTCTCTATTAAAATTCTGACTTTGGTTTTGACTTCAGGTAACAGATACAGTACAATACCACTGTGTCTTTTGAAATATATTTGCTACCTAATATCCATTAATACTACAGCTCCTTGCAAATTTACATTCGAAATAGAAAAATACAAATGTAAAGGAAAATGTACATCACCTCAAAGAAAGTCTGAAACTGGAGTGTGCAAACAACCAGTCTGTTAATCATTCTGAATCTAGATTGTTGACCCTTCTCTTTTCAACACAACTCCTTTTCACAATGTTCAAAATATGAAATAAATGAAAGCAAGTCTCCTGAGACTGAATATCTGCCACAAAAGACAAAATGTAGTAAAGGAAATAGTACAGGAATACACACATTCATGATGCAATGGCTGCTGTTTTTAGTGAGATGTGCAGAGGTGAAATGAAACAGAAGGAAGAAGAATTCAAAATGCACCAGACGTAGTGAATCTGGAATACAAATACTGCACTCTTACACTGGAGTATGGGAAGTGTCCACTAAGCAATCCACACCCACGTGATGCCCAAAGAACCATTCAGATTTATGAGCATACAATCTGTAAAACATCTATTTCTTACATGTTCTCTCAAATGAGGAAATCATAACTACAAACAGAGACGCACTTGGACCAGTCTCTGATTTCTTATGTGTGTATGTAATCTTGACAGTCTACTAGCAAGCAATTGAACAGCTTACAAGAGAATGTTGACCCATCACTGAATTCCTAGAATAATGAATTCTACTTTCACTTGATTAATGTCTTTGATGGAACAGGAAAAAGAAAAAAAATTATAAAAAGCAAGTCACAGTGCATTTGAGACAAAGATGTTTAGTGAAAACATGCTCTGTGCTTAAGAGACATAACAGGATAGTCAGAAAGCATCTTTCAAAACCTACTGACAAATGAATGCAATTACATCAGGAGATGACTGTTTCTCAGTGTTGAAGCATATTTTTCAAGTTGTTCATTTGTGGAGGAAGGATGTCTTATGCAGTGTAGGTAGTTTCTAAAGAAATACATATTTAAATGTGTGCCCTTAGAAAATACTGAACCATTTTCAGTCAAAACAGCACAGTGCTCCTTCATAGCAGTTTTTTTCGTTAATGACCAGTAGCATTTATCTGCAAAGACCTGAGCTATGTCCACAAATTTTTTTGCTAGTAATCCTCAGCTTACTAAGGAATTTTGGTACTACAACAAGCATTTTCAAGGCTATTTCCTAGAAATAGAGCCACTTTTTTCCAGTTTTGATATACAGTTTCTGTCAAGATCAACTTTTTTATGTCACTACAAATCATGGATTTAAGTTAAGCTTTGTCTTAATTTAAGACAAAAATTTTCTAGTCTTTTTTGAGCTGTTATCCACTTACTGAGATCATTTCTTACATGGTCCTTTTATAACATCCTCCCAGAAACTGATGTCACGGTTTAACAAGTTTATAACAACATTATTTCTGCCCCAGCAGAGCAGAGAATTTGCCAGTAACCTACTCCATATGAATATTTGTCCTCAAGTAAAAACAAATAGAGAAATGTGAAATAAAATAACAGGGCACCAGGCTTTAAGTTTACAATCCTTCCATCACTCAAACTCAGTTGTCATTGCTGAGCAAAAAGCAGTCGCTTTTTGACTTCCAGCTCTTCTCTGGGGCTTCTGCCTTCAGATGGATTTAACTCCACGTGGAGCACGGACAGTTTTTGTATCCTAAGTGAAGTTGCACTCCAAAGTCCAGAAGAAGTCTGCAGCAATACAAATCTTTTACAGATTAATTTTGACAATGAGGTTGGGCTAGATTAATTCCAGCGGTTCCTTCCAACCTCGACCATTCTATGGATTTTCTTTAAAGAACACATAGGAATCTGTCTGCCCCTGAATCTGCCTCCTGAAAGGAACGTGTAGGAAAACAGCCCCAGCAGCGTAGAAAGTTTTACCCCTGGCAGCAGAGCTTTAATTGTCCTGAGGTTTGGCCAAGCACTGACAACTCCCAGCAGCTGCCTTGGGACCACAGGCATGAGCTCAAGGATTTGGGCAGAAGAGGAAAAGGCCATGGGCTGGTGCCACGGCAGGTGGCCAAGGAGCACTGTCACCGAGGTCATGGGTGGAGCAATGCCTGCAGCCTGGGGTCTGGGCAAAGCAAAAGGATATAATGTGAGAAAGCTAGGAGAGATGTGCTGATACACAGAAATGGGTATGAAAAGCATTGTGCACCACCTCAGCGAGGCATTCAGGGCCGTGTGCACAATAACAGCCATAATGGGATCATAGTCCTTTAAGGCTTGCCTTCTGCACTTAAATATCAACATTAATATGTAGCAAAAAGCACAATTATGAGA